AGGCAGGGGGTAGTCACAGGGAGTGGAGGAGAGGAGAGTTTTTCTTTTTTTTTTTTAATGGTTGAGGATGGTAATTGAGTCTATGAAATCAAATGTGCATGAACTCTTGAATGTAAAACAAATTTACTTTGTAAATCTGCACCCAAAGCACAATATAAATAAATAAATAAATAATCAGAAAATAATAAATGCTGGCAAGCATATGGCACAATTAGAACCCTAACTCACTGCTGTTGGGAGGGGAAAACGATGCATTTGCTGTGGAATACAGTTTATTAATTTCAAAAAAGTTAGCAGTAAATAACCAGACGACCCAGCAATTTCACTCTTTGGTATATATGCAGAAGACATGAAAGTGGGAAACTAGACAATTGTACACCAATGTCATAGTAGCATTATTCAAAATATTCAAAATGTTGGAAACAACACAAATGTCCATCAATAGATGAATGGATAAACAAAATATGGTACATGTATACAATGGAATATTACTTAACCATAAAGAGAATGAAGAGTTATTTTTTAATGGGCATAGAATTTATGTTTGGAATGATTTAAAAAAAAAAAGATCTGGAAATAGTAGTGATGGCTACACAACATTGTGAATGTATTAATACCATTGAATTGTACACTTAAAAATGGTTAAGATGGTAAATTTTATGTTACGTATGTTTTACCACAATAAATACAAAATGCACAACTGAAAAAAAGTAGATGTGAACAAATACAGAGTACGTTCTTGGACAGAAAGCCTCTATGTTATAAAGATATCAAAGCTCCAAAAATTAATTTATACATTTAACACAAACCCAACAAAAATTCCAACAGGTTTCTCTAGAAATAGTTGACTCTAAAATTCACATGGTGAATAAACAAAAAAGCATTGTTATTGTTGTTGTTATGTGCCATCAAGTCTTCTCTGACTCACAGCAAAGTTATGTACCACAGAATGGAACACTGTGTGGCCCTGTACCGGCCTCATGATCCCTGCTATCCATGAGGCCATAGTTGCAGCCACTGTGTCATTCCATCTTGTTGAGGTCTTCCCCTCCTCTGTTGACCCTCTACTTTACCAAGCATGATATCCTTCTCCAGAGAATGGTCCCTTCTGACAACATGACCAAAGTAAGTGAGATGAAGTCTGGCTGTTCTCACTCCCAAGGAGCATTCTGGTTGCACTTCTTCCAGGGCAGTTTTGTTAGTTCTTTTAGCAGTCCACGGTACTTTCAGCATTTTTTGTCAATACCACAACTCAAAAGCATTGACTCTTCTTCGGTCTTCCTTATTCATTGTCCAGCTCTCACATGCATATGAGGCAAATGGAAATACTATGGCTCAGGTTAGGCACGCCTTAGTCTTCAAGGAGATCTCTTTGCTCTTTAGCACTTGAAAGAGGTCTTTTGCAGCAGATTTGTCCAGTGCAATAGGTTGTATGATGTCTTGGCTGCTGCTTCCATTGGTGTGGACTGTAGAACCAAATAATATGAAGTCTCTGACAACTTCAGTCTTTTCTTCATTTATTGTGTTGTTGCTTATTGGTCCAGTTGTGAAGATTTTTTTGTTTTCTTTATATTGAGGTGTAATCCATACTGCAGACTATAATCTACAGTCTTCATCAGTAAGTGCTTCAAGTCATCCTCATGTTCAGCAAGTAAAGTTGTGTCATCTGCATATTGTGGATTGTTAATGAATCCTCCTCCAATCCTGATGCCACATTCTTCATTCAGTCCAGTTTCTCGGATTATTTGCTCAGCATACAGATTGAATAAGAATGGTAAAAGGATACAACCCTGATGCACTCCCTTCCTGATTTTAAACCATGCAGTATCCCCTTGATCTGTTCAAATGACGTCTCCTGGTCTATGTACAGGTTCTTCATGAGTACAATAAAGTGGTCTGGAATTCCCATTCTTCTCAATGTTATCCATAATTTGTTATGATCCACATAATTGAATGCCTTTGCATAGTCAATAAAACACAAGTAAACATCTTTCTGGTATTCTTTGCTTTCAGCCAAGATCCATCTGACTTCAGCTATAATATCCCTTGCCCCACATCCCTTTCTGAATCCAGCTTGCATTTCTGGAAGTTCTCTGTCAATATATTGCTGCAACCATTTTTGAATTACCTTCAGTAAGATTTTACTTGTGTGTGATATCAATGATATTGTTTGACAATTTCCACATTCTGTGGGATCATTTTTCTTTGGTATGGGTACAAATATGGATCTCTTTCAGTCAGTTGGCCAAGTAGCTGTCTTCAAATCTCAGCACAGCCAAGTAAGTGCCTCCAGCATGGCATCTGTTTATTGAAACATCTCAATAGGTATTCCGTCAATTCCCGGAGCCTTGTTTTTCACCAATTCCTTTAGTGCAGCTATGACTTCTTCCTTCTATACCATTGGTTCTTGATCATATGCCACTTCCTGAAATGGTTAATCATCTACCAATTCTTTTTGGTATAGTGACTCTGTGAAGTCCACCCATCTTCTTTTGATGTTTCCTGCATCATTCAACATATTGCCCATGGCACCTTTCAATATTGCAATTTGAGGCTTATTTTTTTCTTAAATTCTTTCAGCTTAAGAAATGCTAAGTGTGTTCTCTTTTGGTTTTGTAACTCCAGGTCTTTTCCCATTTTATTGTAATAATTGATTTTGTCTTTTTGAGCTGCTCTTTGAAATCTTCTGTTCAGCTCTTTTATCCTGTCCATTCTTCCATTTACTTTACGACTCTCTATTTGAGAGCAAGTTTCAGAGTCTCTTTTGACACCCAATTTGGTCTTTCCTTCTTTTCCTGTCTTTTTAGTGACCTTTTACTTTCTTCATGGATGATGTTCTTGATGTCATCCCATAATTCCTTTGGTTTTTGGTCAGTGGTGTTCAATGCATCAAATCCACTCTTTAGATGGTCTCTAAATTCAGGAGGGATATATTCAAGGTCATATCTTGGCTCTCACAGACTTCTTTTAATTGTCTTCAGCTTCAACTTGAACTTTCATATGAGCAGTAGATGGTTTGTTCCACAATCAGCTCCTGGCCTTGTTTTGGCTGAAGATACTGAGCTTCTCCATCTTCTCTTTCCACAGATGTAGTCAATCTGATTACTGTGTACTCTGCCTGGTGGAGTCCACGTGTATAGCCACTGTTCATGTTGAAAAAAGTTATTTGCGATGAATAAGTTATTGGTCTTGAAAATTCTATCATGTGATCTCCAGAATTATTTCTATCACCAAGGCATATTTTCCAGCTACTGGTAATTCTTTTTTGTTTCTAACTTTGGAATTCCAATCACCAGTGATAATTAACTCATCTTGATTACATGTTTGGTCAATTTCAGACTGTAGAAGTTGGCAAAAATCTTCAAATTCTTCATGTTTGGCTTTGGTGGTTGGTGCACAAATTTGAATAACAGTAGTATTAACTGGTCTTCCTCATAGGTATATGTATATTATCCTGTCACCATCAGCATTGTACTTCAGGATGAATCTGATACATTCTTTGTGATGATAGATGCCACACCATTTTTCTTCAATTTGTCATTTCTGGCATAGTAGGTCAGTTAGCCCTGGACCAGCGGAAGATGGGTATTTGCGTACGTGGAGGTGCCATGTGGGCAAAGCCACAATAAGCCAGCCCAGGACCAGCAGAAGGTGGGTGTTTGTGTGTGTGGAGGAACCCCACGGGCAAGGCCACAGTAAGCCAGCCTGGGACCAGTGGAAGGTGGGTGTTTGTATGCCTTGGGGTTGGCCATGGGTAAGGCTGCAGTAAGCCATCCCAGGAGGACCAGAGGAAGGCGGGTGTTTGTGTGTGTAGAGGCGTCCTGTGGTCAAGGCTGCAGTAAGCCAGCCAGGACCAGTGGAAGGTGGGTGCTTGTGTGCGTGCAGATGCCCCACATCTAAAGCCACAGTAAGCCAGCTGGGACCAACTGAAGGTGGGAGTTTGTGTGGACCACCCTGGGGGCAGGCTGGGTAAGCTAGCAGGGCTGGGGAGACCAGGAAATGAGTGGAGCAGTTTGGAGCAACTAAGGGAGCCAAATTTGTCTGTCAGTTCATGGTACTGTGGTGGCTTGAGTGTTGCTGTGAGGCTGGAGGCTATGCCACTGGTGTTTCAAATACCAGCAGGGTTACCCATGGTAGACAGGTTTCAGTGGGGCTTACAGACTAAGATAGACTTGGAAGAGGAAGAGGTCATCCACTTCTCAAAGAATTGGCCAGTGAAAACCTTATGAATAGCAGTGAAATGCTGTCTAATATATTACTGGAAAGAATAAGCAGGATTAAAAAAAAAAAAAGAATAAGTAGAATAACTCTGAAAAAGAAGTAGTATATGCAGTTGGAGAAAGGAAAGGACTGGGTGTCTGGATGAGAAGAGGACCTAGTTTTCAACGTATTTTTTAGACAATTTAATCTTAACTGAATCTATGTATGGTGTTAAAAAAAATAATTAAAAGATTGGAAGGTGGGATGTTAGATGGTATCATTTTCTAAGCCAGAAACTTTTACAGTTGTATGGATTGTAATGGTTGTAAAGTACAATGAAAAGAGTGAATATCATTACAAAACAGAACTCAGATTTTCTGAAATAAAAAGGAGAGAAATGAAATCTTAGTGTCAAATACATTTTACAAATACTACACATTTACAGAACATTGAATGCATTAAGAAAATAAAACTATGAACATGAAAGAGAGAGAGACATACAGATCACAGATAAAGAAATAATTCTAAATGTACAGTTACAAATGAATTAGTGAGGGTTGTCATCCTGAAATCAGGTAAGAAGGGCTACTAGCTCTCTAAAATTTGAAAAAGGAAAAAAGCCTCAGCTAATAAGAATAGTATACGTAAATGTCACAGTAATCTAAGACATCTACACCATTTGTCACACAAGAAGACTATGGCCTTTAAGAAAATATTGGAAAATGTGAAATAGTATCAACCTCTCACTAAACAACTCTGTGGCTTTCTCAGTCAAAGCTGCCTGATTTTCATTTATTCACCTGGAAAATGTCTCCCAAATATTTCTTCCTCTACCACCCATGGTTCCTCTTCCTGCTCCAACTTGAAGATCACATCTGGTTTGGTGACTTGACAACCTATTATAGGAAAATGTAAAGGGCTTGGATGTTAATGCTGAAGAGAAAAACTGATATAGAAAACATTTACCCCTAGATCTTGGGCAGAATTCTGGGGGTACTGAGGACTTAGGAAGGATGATGAGGGAGGAAATTCCAAGGAAGCACAATGAAACAAGTGATTAGCCTTTATCTTGGAGAATGGAGCACATCCAGTCATGTGAAGAAAACAAAGGCCAGACTCATCTAACCAGTTATGTCTTCACACATTCGAAATGGAAAAGAATTCTGAGTTAAATGTCAAAGCTATCTTACCCACTGTGACTAGGTTACTATAGTTCTCCAGCATTACATCCCGGTACAAGTTCCTCTGAGCAGGTTTCATTTGCTGCCACTCTTCCTGGGTGAAGTCCACAGCCACATCCTTAAATGTCACTGTTTCCTGTAAAAATACAACCCTAATTAATTTGAAATCGTCAAAGTTAAGCACTATGGTCAAAACAAAATTTGTTTAGCAAGTATTTAGGGGTCAGAATTCACTAAAAACTGTATATTGCATCATTATATTTACCAAATTTTGTATTATTCTGTGGGGGAAAATAAGCTATAGAGAAATATACTGTTAAAGTAAGTTAATTATTGAGTCAGCAAACTCAGGAATTCATTATTTATTACACAAGAAGACAGAGATGGTGGTCACTGACTTGTACTGGACTGACAGAGATGGATGCTGTGCTGGAGCCACTTGACTACAGCAAGAGATTTGGAAGACAACTACCTGGTCCACTGACTGAAAGAGATCCATATTTTTACCCATTCCAAAGAAAGGTGCCACTCCCCGGAAGGAAGGTTGGGCAATCCTACTTCCGTAGTGATACTGCCTCGGAAACCCAAGGAGGGGTCGCTATGAGTCGGGGACGACTCGACGGCACATAACAACAACAACAACAAAGAAAGGTGATCCCACAGAATATGGAAATTATCAAACAATATCATTGATATTACACACAAGTAAAATCTTACTGAAGATAATTCAAAAACGGTTGCAGCAATATATTGACAGAGAACTTCCAGAATTGCAATCTGGAGTCAGAAATGGATGTGGATTGAGGGATATCACAGCTGAAGTCAGATGGATCTTGGCTGAAAGCAAAGAATACCAGAAAGATGTTTATTTGTGTTTTATTGACTACGCAAAAGCATCAGATTGTGTGGATCATAACAAATCATGTATAACATTAAGAAGAATGGGAATTCCAGAACATTTAATAGTACTAAGGAGGAACCTGTACATAGACCAGGAAGCTGTTGTTTGAACAGAACAAGGGGATACTGCATGGTTTAAAATCAGGAAGGGAGTGCATCAGGGTTGTATCCTTTCACCATACTTATTCAATCTGTATGCTGAGTAAATAATCTGAGAAGCTGGACTATGTGAAGAAGAACATGGCATCAGAATTGGAGGAAGATTCATTAACAATCTGCAATATGCAGACAACACAATTTTGCTTGCTGAAAGTGAGGATGATTTGAAGCATTTACTGATAAAGACTGTAATTTATAGTCCCCAGTATGGATTACACCTCAATATAAAGAAAACAAAAAATCTTCACAACTGGACCAATAAGCAGCATCACAATAAATGGAGAAAAAACTGAAGTTGTCAGAGACTTCATATTTTTTGATTCTACAATCCACACCAATGGAAGCAGCAGCCAAGACATCAGACAACATACTGCACTGGGCAAATTTGCTGCAAAAGACCTCTTTCAAGTGCTGAAGAGCAAAGAGATCTCCTTGAAGACTAAGGTGCACCTAACCTGCGCCATGGTATTTCCATTTGCCTCATATGCATGTGAGAGCTGGACAATGAATAAGGAAGACTGAAAAAGAGTTGATGCTTTTGAGTTGAGGTGTTGGTGAAGAATGTTGAAAGTACCACGGACTGCTAAAATAACAAAACTGTCCTGGAAGAAGTGCAGCCAGAATGCTCCTTAGAAGTGAGAATGACCAGACTTTATCTCATCTACTTTGGTCATGTTGTCAGAAGGGACCATTCTCTGGAGAAGGATATCATGCTTGGTAAAGTGGAGGTCAACAAAAGAGGGGAAGGCCCTCGATAAGATGGAATGACACAGTGGCTGCAATAATGGGTTCAGGTATAGCAGAGATCATGAGGCTGGTGCAGGATCAGGCAGTGTTTTGATTTATTGTACATAAGGTCGCTATGAGTCAGAGATGACTCGATGGCACCTAACAACAACAACAACAAAAAAAAACAGAGATGGAAGAGTTGAATATGACTCACAAGTAACTGGCTCAGAACCTTTCCAGGTGGTTGTGTGAGAAAAAGAACATGGTAAGGGATGGGAGGTAAGAGGAAGTAGGCAGGAAGGGAAAAAAGGGACATGAAAGTGTGAATAAACGAAAGTTAAAAATCCCTATAGGACTTTCAGATGGAAATGACAATACGCAGTTGGAAGTGTAGAGACAGGAAATGAAAATGTGTTTGTTGGATGATCTAAATTGGACAGAAGCTGAATCAGTGATTGAGGATATGCATGATTGTAGACAACATGTATGTTGAGTATAGGACCAAGGACAGAATCAACAGTTAAGGAACAAAGAAAGGAATTCATGGTTTTGATTGTTTCATTTGCAATGGAAGGATCAGAATTAGTATTTGTGATTGCTGTAACAGAAGCCAAAAGTCAAATTTCAAAGGAATTGTTAGAAAACAATGTTGCTTGATTACAGATATCACTTCCTCAACATTTAAAAGCTTCAATGTCCAAATAAGGATATAAGGAAAAAAATCTTCATTTGTGAAAGGCCCTAAAAAAGAAAAACATCCACATATCCCACACTAAGGAAAAAACAAAACAAAACAAAACCTCACTGCCAATGAGTCAATTCTGACTCATAGAGACCCCCTCTGGGTTTCTGAGATGGTAAATCTTTACAGAAGTAGACTGCTCAGTCTTCATTCCACGGAGTAGCTGGTGGGTTTGAATGGCAGAGCTTATATCCTAAACTAGGAGGACTTTGTTCAAGAAATACTATAAATGAGATGAGAAGAAAATGAGAAAAACAAATGGAAATACCCAAGGACTGAATCACAATGTTTCTGAGAAACTATTTCTATGATGTTAACTTCACTATCATCATCAAAATCATCAGTATCGTCATTTATTGAGTGCTTGTTATTTTCCTGGCACTGCTTTAGTTCCTTTAGATACATTACCTATATATTTCTTTTTTTTTTTTTGGTGTTAAAAACACATAAAACAGTTGTGTAGTCAATAACTTTCACACGTATAATTCAGGGACATCAATTACATCCACCAGGTTGTGTAACCATTATCACTATGTTTATTTTTGTTTTTATCATTCAAAAACATTTAATAGGCCTCTAACATTTGCCAACAATTGTTGTTGTTAGGTGCTGTGGTGTAGTAAATTACTTAGCGTGGCTTTTCTACCCATAAGTCTTTGTAAACTCCAAGGTGGGATTTTCTATGAGCA